TTACCTGAGTTTTTTCTTTCCCTATTATTGGTTATTATAAAAGTGGAGAGAAATCTAGATGTCTTTGAAAAGGAAATGGCAGCATAAGGCTAAGAGGAATTTAGTAATTATTTTAAAATTTCAAGTGAATTCAAAAGTCTTTTGTTAGAAAAATGGTCTTTGGTTATGGGAGGGAGAGAACGTGTCCACTGCCATCTGTAGGGATCATCATGGTGATGAATCTGTTTCTAATTGCAGTATTTTACGTTCCACATGTTTTATGGCAGGGAATAAGAAAAGAGAAAAAAGAATCATTTGCGAAACCTCCGCATAGGTTAGAAGAACAAAACCAGAGCTTTCTCAGGGCAGCGCCATCGTCCTGTTTAAGATGATCTTTGTGCCTGAGTGCCGCCACTTACGAGGGTGTTCCTTCCTTCTCTGCGGCCTCCTGGGTTTATCGTTTTGAATATTGTCTTCCTCCCCACTCCTCATTAGCAGGAGGATCTGCTGAAGGAAGGTGGCCAGTGGAAGAAGCCGGCCAGGGTCAGCGCCTGTCTGGCCCCCGTCCTCCCCATTCCCATGACAAGGCTGCCCTTCACCATCAGACCCACATCACCCACCTCACCTGCCCTTTGTTTAGTACAAAAAAATTGTTTCTCTCACTTAAAAAATAGTGAAACGGATATTATCATATTCATTTAAAACATTTTTTCTAAAACCAGCAGTGTGTGTGTTAATTCCTTATGGGATCTAACGAAAAAGGAGAAAGGAGTTGGAAGGTAAATTTTTAAGATGAACTCCTTGTTTCCCCTTAGGTTAATGGTGAAAGTTTCTAGAAAACTGTGAACTTGAGTGACTCAGATTGCATTAGATGTCTGTAACTGTATAAAAAATGATCCCCACAGTTACCTGCTCAGAAACAGCAACAAACATTCATTAGCACACACAACTTCCATGAATTAGCATTTGGGAGCAGTTGGACTGGTTAATTCTAGCTGAGGATGTCTTGTGAGGCTGCAGTCCTGTGAAGGCTGCACTGGGACTGGAGGATCCTTTTCAAGCTGGGACAGCTGTTGGCAGGAGAACTCAGCTCATTGCCTGGGGAGCTCCCCACAGGGCCACGGTGGATACTTGGTGCTGGAATCCCCAGAGTGAATGACACGGCTCAGAGCACATGCCCCGCGGCATCTGTACCCCTGCCCCAGAAGGCTCATGCCATCATTTCCACAGCCTTCTCGTAGCCTCCTAGGGCATCTCTCCTCAATCCGGGAGTGGCCTGCTACTCCGCAGAAGTGAATAGTAGGGGGCAGGAGTCACAGAGACTGGCTTCGGCAGAGGTGAGAGGCAGAGCTATAAAGTCACGTTTGATTCACTGTAAATATAAAGGACAAGAGAAACTAGCAAAGGTGAGAGTGCCAGCAGGGAGGAAAACAGACAAGCAGATCTCTAGAATGCAAAGGAAGTAGTAAGTTACTGGCCTGAGAGCTGGGTGATCCTACTGAAGAAATGCCCCGGCCCCCGACACCCTCCACACTTCCTTAGAGCCTCTCCATCTTCCGAGAGTAGGAGCCTCCGTGGTTTAGTGTTAAGGATTTTATGGTCTGGCCGTGCGTGTGGGAAGGTGGTGGGAACGTGCTGGAAGGAAGCATGAAGAGGCTGCTGAAGCTGAGACGCTGGCGGGGCCGGTCCTGGCACAGCTCGTGTGCTGCGGGCCCCCACCCGACCCCCGTGCTGCCTGGGTCTGACACCGTCCAGTGTGTGCCGGCCGGCCGGCCCTGGGTGGGGACACTCGCGCTCTGTCACAGGCTTTCCTTGGTGTGCGTGGCACCGCCCAGTCTGCTTTATTTATTCTGCAGTGGTTTCTGTCCATTAACATCCTATTTTCTGGTGACTGCCTTGATTGTTAGCAAATGTTTTGCTTTTCAAGGAAGCACAACCATGGATTTTTTTTAATGGTTAAAGCAAATCATGCTTTGCCAAGTCCTGTTTTTATTTTGAGGTCTTACATTTGTATACCTATTTTAAATAATCTGCTCCTTTTCTATATGTGTGGATCAGTTCATTCTCCCTTAAACAAAAGAACAAGACAGCTATTATTTAAATTTAGAATGTTGTGTTGGCTGATGGTATTGTTCATTTTGAGGACACACTTGAGTTATTTCTTCCAGGTATCTTTGAATATGCACGTAGGTAATTTTAACTATGACAAGACTGCAATTTTTTTAAGAAAACTAAGTCCTATCAGACAGACACTATAATGTATTTTCTTAAAATTCACATTTATTTATTCAAAACACATGTGCTTACTACAAGCCTTACCCTAAAGCATCTTTCTTATGATTTTAGATGTGTTTATGGCTCTGATTTTTATGGAAAGTAAGACAACAGAAAGGTGGTATCTTCTGCATAACTTGCAGGGATAAAGCAAGTAGCAGGATGATTGACCCTGTGAATGTTAGCTGCTGTGAACTTGAAGGTGTATCTGAGACTTTCTTCTGAAGGCTTTTCTCCAAAGTGTAGCATTTTATCCTTGTTAAAAATGCTTGTTTTCTTTTTACAAAAAGGAGTATTTATTTACTCATTAAAGAAAATTTGGAAACTAGCCAAAACAAGTATCACCAGTAACTCTACAAACTAAAATAACTATCATTGATATTTTGGCAGGTAATTTTTCCAATCTTTTTCCATATATATATATATATATATATATATATACAAACTTAAAATATAATATTTAGGTTAATTAAATCTTTACCTTCTCTCTAACCAGTTAACTTTTTTTAAAAATTAGTTGCATAGGTTAAAACGTCAAGTAGTGTCCTAAGTCTTGTTGTGATTCCTGTTTTTACAGGCAGCCGCTCTGAACTTTTTGTTGTTCAGATGTAGTTATTTGTAAGCAATCTGCTTATGCTTTGGTGTTTGCTACACTCTAGGTATTATAGACACACCTTTCTTTATTTCTTTTATTTATTGAACTGTACATTCATTGGACCCTTTTAATTCAGAGATTGATTTCTTCGGTTCTTGGAAATTTGAGGCATTTTTGTTTTGATGATTTCTTCCATTTTTTATATTACCTCTTTGGGGATTCTGGTTCTTCAAATGTTAAACCTCCTATCCTCATTATTTGTTTTTCTTTCTTCCTTTGTTTTGTGTTTTGCATTTGAAGGGATATCTCTTTATTTTTTTAACTCTTATATTGAGTTTTTAAAGTTAAAATTTTTGCTAACTAATTTTCAAGATCCTCTTTAAAAATAAGTCTCAAACTTTCCTATTGTGTTTTATTCTTTTTTTTTTGAGACATCTTGTTTGATCTTATTTCTCTGGAGGATATTACAGTGTTTGAAGATTATTTTTCCAGTTCCTTGTATTGTCTGTGGTTCTTCTGAGTTCCTCTTTTATGTTTTTTGGTTATGTTCTCTTTTTTTTCCTCATGTTTTGGAGGCTTTGATGAAATATAATCCTTTACTCTTCACTCATATTTAAAGGTAAGATACAATTGTGGGAATTGGTAGCTCTATGCAGAGTTGGGGTTACCAACAAATAATGATTGCTCTAAGCCGCTATTCAGTTGAGAGACTACAGTGTCTGTATCTGGGTCTTTTCTTTTGGTCTGGGAAATGGATCCAGATGTGTGT